ACGAAGAACAACCAAGAGCCCAGGCCTACTGATGGTATCATAGGCCTTGACCAGGTCAATAAAGCCGAGATGTAGGTCTTGTTCGAATTCCCTACACCTCTGCTGTAGCAGACGGACAGAAAATATGACATCTGTGCAGGACCGCCCTTTCCTGAAACCGCATTGGGGCTCCGCAAGCCTCTCCTCAGCGTGACTGGCAAGGCGATGTTGAATAATCCTTCCCAGGACCTTTCCCGGCACACTGAGGAGTGAGATGCCCCTGTAGTTGTTACAGTCTGTGCGGTCCCCCTTCTTAAAAAGGGGGACCACCAGGGCATCCTTCCAATCCTGCGGAACCCGTCCAGTGGTCCAGACTGTTGTTATGATGTCATATAGGGCAGTCTGTGCACAAACGCCGCCCTCCCTCAGCATTTCGCTTGGGAGATCATCTCTGCCCGCTGCCTTTCCTGGTCTCAGCCTCTGGATCGCCTTCAGTACTTCCTCAGCAGATGGCATCTCAGCCAGCCACTCACAGGGGGTGACTTCTTCCAATATTTGAGGCACCGCAGCCTCAGCAGGGTCATCCTCACTTTGTGCCACGATGTTTTCCTGGCTGAGGGATTTTCCCTCCCCCAGGACCTCACAGAAATGCTCAGCAAATCTGCAAACCTGTTCCTGGGGGTCGGAGATTGGGTCACCGTTTTTTCCCCTAATGATGGTAATAGGTTGTGGCGCTGCAGATTACTTTTTTGATGGAGTTAAATAGAGATTTGTGATCACGGGCCACTGAGGCAGACTCCATCTCCTCAGCAACCCGCGACCACCACCCATCCTTGCAGCGCCTCACGGCTCTCCGAACCTCCGAGCGAAGGCTGCGGTAAGCCTCCTCATTCTCTGACGTGGGATTCTGTAGCCGATGACAGTGGGCCTGTCGCTTTTTCTCAACCATCCTGAACACCTCCTCTGTTAGCCAGGGTCTCTGGGGAGGTCTGGACCGCGTACCTAAAGCAGCCATTGCAGCTGCATGAGTCACAGTCCTAAACCTCGCCCATTTACCCTCGACATCAGGAGGAGTCGGGGACGATGCCAATCCCAGCCGCAAGCGATGATGAAATTCTCGCTTGCAACTTTCATCAGCTAACTGAGACCAGGCCACTTTAGGTTGGAATGGGGTCCTGGGTGTACACCCACCACAGAGTGGATGAATGGCAGGCGCATCTTACAGATGACTAGTCGATGGTCAGAGGGCAGATCAGCTCCACGGTAGGTCCTGGTGTCAAGGACATGGGCTCGCATCCGCTGGTCCGTCACTATGTAGTCCAGCAGATGTTCTTGCTTGGACCCGGCATGCATCCATGATGTTGTGTGGATGCGCCGATGCCGGAACAGCGTGTTGGTAATTACAAGCCCATGGGCTGCACAAAAATCTAGCAGCCTCCTACCGTTGTTATTGAGCTGATCTGGCCCATGCCCTCCAATCACTCCAGACCAGGTGCCAGTATCATGACCAACTCGGGCATTGAAGTCACCCAACATGATGACTCTATCCCGAGGGGCCACTTTAGCCAGCACCTGTGACAGGTCATAGAAGGCATCTGACTCATCGGCTTTGCCTGCATCCCTCCACGGATGTTCATCTTCGGTGGGGGCATAAGTAACCACGACCACCATTCCTTGCCTCCGGTTGATGGGAAGGCGAGCCCAAAGTAGCCTGGGACTTACAGCTTCCCACACCTCACCACCACGCTCCCACGCCCCCTTCATTCTTTTGTTCAAAAGAAGAGCCACACCCTGTTGTTTGGCAGTCTGCTGCCCCGAGTGGAGGACTGTCCACCCCTCATGGTGGCAGGAGCCAGAGCCGGTCCACCGGACCTCCTGACATTCACTCACACACACACCGTCACACACACTCACTCACCACTCATTCACATGTTTTATATTAACTGTACGAACACATTTTATTTATTTATTTTGCCAGATAAGGCCCACTGAGATATTTTTTCAGAAGCGACCTGGCCACAAATGATTGCGCAACGAAGTGGCTTATCACGTGGACATTTATAGCAACCAAAGACTCTTAACGCGTGATTCTAATTGTGCAGGGGAAAACCTGGAGGACCACGTGGAGAACACGCAAACGGCAAATTTACAGCAGCAGCAGGCGTCATGGTCGGGATCGAGCCCACAACCTCCTGTATACCAGGTGAGGTAGTTAACATCTCATAGCCACCGTGGCGCCCACTGTACCTCCTTGCTGCGTTTTAACTATCTCGGCGCTATGCTCGTTGTTGTGAGCGTCGCTGCAAAGTATAATCTTGTGTTTGATTTAGTGCGCTGCTCTTTAAAGGTGCATTGAAAAATGTTGATACTGCTCCTGATGTTGTGGAGTGACTCATGCAGCCAGCTTTAGCGTCAGGGCTTGGCGGTACATGTTGTTTATGTCGTTTATTGTGAAATTTCGGGCACAGTTCTTATGAGCACTGTTATATTGCTTTTATGGCTTTATTTTGGTGATTTCGAAAACGTTTTTTTTGTTTGTGGCCATGTTTCTTTGTTGTAGTACGGAGTTCGACTGATGGCTTTAATCTAAGTTGTCTTGTGGTTGTTGTTGTTGTTTGACTTGCATCCAACTGGGATTTTTGCACACAGCGTTGGTGGTGTACGGTGATTTTTCTGGAAGATTTTTGCTGTTTTTTTCCTGTTTTTTTCAGGATTGCGCAGTCACACATTGTCACTTTAAGATGTTTTCTTGTTCATGTTTTCGTTTGTTGCGGTTGCACCCGATTCAAGAGCCGAATGACTCACAGGGCTATACCAAATAAATGAAACTGCAACTGCCCAGCAGCGTTCTTCACGAGCCTCCTTCACAGAGGTCGATCTTGACACCGCCGGTACTGGTCATTTGCAAGTTCACGCAGCTCCACGTCCTTCTGTACCGTATCAACCCATCTCGTCTCCAGCCCGTGCAGCACCCGCTTAGCCCCCTCCATCCGGCGAAACAGAAGCTGTTTGGGCATGCGGTGGCTGGGCATGCGAGCCGCATGATCTCGCAAAGGCAGCTTTGCCTGTCGAAGGGGCTCACTGATGGGACTGTGTCCAGATCTGTCAAGGGTCTGTGAGCTGTCACACTGTAATCCAGCCTGGTTAAACCCGGTATGGATCGTAGGATGGCCAGCCTGAACGTTTCAAAACGGCGCAGATGTTCCTTTAGAAGGCTCTATGATTCACACTCATCGAGGAGGGAGAGCATGACTGTAAGATATCCTCACACTGTCAAACGCAATGCCAAATATCGCCCGTGTAGCCTTTAACGGACTGTTGAGGCAAGTGCTGTTTGCGCGTATCACCGATGAAGGCCTGCACGGCACACGAAGAGGTGAGTAGCCAACACCACGCCCGGACACCTTTATCTCCCCCAGGAGCGATGTTTTTACACACCGCACCAAGTAATCATTTGAAGTTGAGTGGACCTTGGGGAGGCCCAGGATCGGTTCAGATAATCGCCGCTGGTGTTCGCCGTGAGTGGGAATAAAACTCGGGTCGCCGCATTCGTAGAGCAACGTGTGTGACATTGACACACACACTGACACACACTGACACATACACACACATTGACACATACACACACACTGACATCGATACACGCACAAATTGACATGCACACGGGTCCTAAATATAACTCCTAGGCACTGATACACACTGACACATTAATACACGCACTGCCAATCACACACGGTGACACACACACGCACACCGTTTCAGGTGTCGGGTTGATTTCGAGTGGCCAGGTCGAACTCAAGCGACCGGCATCAAGGAGGAGTCTCATTTGTAAGAGGGATCTGGGGGCATGAGTCTGCAACCAGTAGAGGTAGCGATGATTAATTACTGCTGTGTGGTCTAGCCTAGGAGCACCCCCGGTGGCAGCTGTCTCTGTGCATTCGTCTGCTGCCAGGAGAGGGCGATGACCGCTGTTTTGTGCTCAAACCTCGGGGTAAGCAAGCGTAATCATCTTTACAATTGTAAGGGGCGTCAGGTGGAAGGATTCCCACCAAAAGGAGGGGGAGTGGGACGGTGACAGGGGAAGGCAGAGGAGCAAGCTATGAGACAGAAGAGAGAGAGAGAGAACGGGCGGGAAGAGGGGAGATCTTGGTGGGAACGAGATTGAGACGGCTGGGGACAAGTGTGGACTGAAGGAAGCAATAAAAGACTAACCCCCTGCAACCTTGTGTCGGCTCTCCTTTACACAATAACAACAGCAATAGGCCAGGTGCCAGGCCAGGTGCCAGGCCAGGTGCCAGGTCAGTTGCCAGGTCAGTTGCCAGGTCAGGTGCCAGGCTAGGTGCCAGGCCAGGTGCCAGGTCAGGTGCCAGGCCAGGTGCTATGTCGGGTGCCAGGCTGGGTGCCAGGCCGGGTGCCAGGTCAGGTGCCAGGTCAGGTGCCGGGTCAGGTACCAGGTGAGGTACCAGGTCAGGTGCCAGGTCAGGTACCAGGTCAGGTACCAGGTGAGGTGCCAGGCCAGGTGCCAGGTCAGGTGCCAGGTGCCAGGTCAGGTGCCATGTCGGGTGCCAGGCCGGGTGCCAGGTGAGGTGCCAGGCCAGGTGCCAGGTCAGGTGCCAGGTCAGTTGCCAGGTCAGGTGCCAGGCCGGGTGCCAGGTCAGGTGCCAGGCCAGGTGCCAGGCCAGGTGCCAGGTCAGGTGTCAGGTGAGGTGCCAGGCCGGGTGCCAGGCCGGGTGCCAGGTCAGGTGCCAGGTCAGGTGTCAGGTCAGGTACCAGGTCAGGTATCAGGTGAGGTGCCAGGCCGGGTGCCAGGCCGGGTGCCAGGTGCCAGGCTAGGTGCCAGGCCAGGTGCCAGGTCAGGTGTCAGGTGAGGTGCCAGGCTAGGTGCCAGGTCAGGTACCAGGCCAGGTACCAGGCCAGGTGCCAGGTGCCAGGCCAGGTACCTGGCCAGGTGCCAGGTGCCAGGCTAGGTGCCCCGCCCCCCGCATACCAGAGCGCCGCGCCCGCCCACCCCGCAGGTGCGAGGAGGCCGCGGTGCAAATTCCAAAAGCGCCGCGCCCCGATAGCGGGGACCGAGGCGGCGGTGAGGAGCGGTGAGGAGGAGCGGTGAGGAGAGGCAGCGGCGATCGAGAGTTGTGGTGGGTGCGGTGAGACGCGTTAGACCGCCATTCCAGTGTTGGGGTACAGGGGATAGCGAGGGGATAGCGAGGGGTGAGGTGGGCGAGGTGAGGTGGGGGTGAGCGGGAGAGAGGAGGAAGGGTCGTGAGCGAGGCGTGTTTTGGTGAGCAGTGAAAGTGAGGAATGTGGTGAGCGCTGGTGTGGATAGCCCGGGGTGGGTGAGTTGGGACGTGGGTGAGGAGTTGAGTCGAGTGTGGCGAGTGGTGTAGGTGTGGTGTGCTTCGATAGGTGGTTTGTGGAAGAGGGTGGCGGTGGTGGTGAGGTGAGGGTGAGGAACGTGACGTTTATGGTTTGTGGAAGAGGGTGAGCGAGAATGTGGTGGTGGTGAGGTGAGGGTGAGGAACGTGACGTTTATGGTTTGTGGAAGAGGGTGAGCGAGAATGTGGTGGTGGTGAGGTGAGGGTGAGGAATGTGACGTTCACGGTTTGCGGGAGAGGGTGAGCGAGAATGTGGTGGTGGTGAGGTGAGGGTGAGGGTGAGGAATGTGACGTTCACGGTTTGCGGGAGAGTTTGTTGTTTGGTGAGTGCTGTGGGCTGAGCGTGTTGAGGTGGGTTTATATGTGAGGGTGGAGTGAGTGGCGTGTGGTGAGTTGTGAGGTGAGGGGTGTGGTGAGTTGTGAGGTGAGGGGGTGTGGTGAGTTGTGAGGTGAGGGGGTCTGGTGAGTTGTGAGGTGAGGGGGTGTGGTGAGTTGTCAGGTGAGGGGGTGTGGTGAGTTGTGAGGTGAGGGGTGTGGTGAGTTGTGAGGTTAGTGGCGTGTGGTGAGTTGTCAGGTGAGTGGCGTGTGGTGAGTTGTGAGGTGAGGGGGTCTGGTGAGTTGTCAGGAGTGTGGTGTGTTCAGTGTGGCGAAGTTGTGTGTGGTGAGGCGGGGTTTCACGTGAGTGAGTGGCGTGTGGTGAGTTGTGAGGGGTGAGTTCAAGGTGGGGGGTGTGGTGAGTTGTGAGGGGTGTGGTGAGTTGTGAGGGGTGTGGTGAGTCCAAGGTGAGGGGTGAGGTGAGTTGTGAGGGGTGAGGTGAGTTGTGAGGAGTGAGGTGAGTTGTGAGAGGTGAGGTGAGTTCAAGGTGAGAGGTGTGGTGAGTTGTGAGGGGTGAGGTGAGTTGTGAGGGGTGAGGTGAGTTCAAGGTGAGGGGTGAGGTGAGTTGTGAGTGGTGAGGTGAGTTGTGAGGGGTGAGGTGAGTTGTGAGGGGTGAGGTGAGTTGTGAGGGGTGAGGTGAGTTGTGAGGGGTGAGGTGAGTTCAAGGTGAGGAGTGTGGTGAGTTGTGAGGGGTGAGGTGAGTTCAAGGTGAGGGGTGAGGTGAGTTGTGAGGGGTGAGGTGAGTTGTGAGGAGTGAGGTGAGTTGTGAGGGGTGAGGTGAGTTCAAGGTGAGGGGTGAGGTGAGTTGTGAGGGGTGAGGTGAGTTCAAGGTGAGGAGTGTGGTGAGTTGTGAGGGGTGAGGTGAGTTCAAGGTGAGGGGTGAGGTGAGTTGTGAGGGGTGAGGTGAGTTGTGAGGAGTGAGGTGAGTTGTGAGGGGTGAGGTGAGTTCAAGGTGAGGGGTGAGGTGAGTTGTGAGGGGTGAGGTGAGTTGTGAGGAGTGAGGTCAGTTGTGAGGGGTGTGGTGAGTTCAAGGTGAGGGGTGAGGTGAGTTGTGAGGGGTGAGGCGAGTTCAAGGTGAGGGGTGTTCAGTGTGGCCAAGTTGTGTTGCCTGTCCCGGCGTCTCCTAAATGTGTTGACTGCAGTACGTGTGTTGACTGTACAGTACGTGTTGACAGTACAGTACGAGTGTTAACTGTACAATACGTGTGTTGACTGTACAGTACGTGTGTTGACTGTACAGTGCGTGTGTTGACTGTACAGTACGTGTGTTGGCTGTACAGTACGAGTGTTGACGGTACAGTACGTGTGTTGACTGTTGCCTGTTCGTGTTGCTTCTAATTTAGTTTCTTGTAGGGGCGCCACGGTGGCTATGAGATGTTAACTACCTCGCCTGGTATACAGGAGGTCGTGGGTTCAATCCCGACCCTGACACCTGTATATTTGGAGTCTGCGTCTCTCTCTCATCATCATCACGGTGGCTAGGAGATGTTAACTACCTCGCCTGGTCTACAGGAGGTCGTGGGTTCAATCCTGACCTTGACACCTGTATATTTGGAGTTTGCGTCTCTCTCATCATCATCACGGTGGCTAGGATATGTTAACTACCTCGCCTAGTATGCAGGAAATCGTAGGTTCGATCCAGACCTTGACACCTGCTGTGTATTTGGAGTTTGCATGTCTCTCTCTCCGTGGTCTCGTGGAATTTTTCTCCACGTCCTCCAGTTTCCCCCCTTCACATTTAGAGAGTATTTGGCTGCTATGCAATTCCCCACGGCGACAAGCCACGTGGTTGAGCTATCATTTGTGATCGCCAGGCCGCTTCTGAAACTCAGCTATGAAGCTCAGTGGGCCTTTACCTGATCAAGTAAATAGTTCTTAGTTCTTACCTGTGTTGCCCGTGTGTGTCGCCTGTATCCACGCGCTTTGCCTGTCGGTGGTTCGCCTGTTGCTATGTTGCCACTATCCTTTGGGTGCCTGGCAGGATGGGGAGGGGGGTGGTTTTGTTGTCTTTGTGTTTGGGTGAATTGTTTGACTGTCCTGTACTTTGCACTACCGTTGTGTTGTTGTCACTGTTTGTCGCAGTAACGCCCTTACCCGCCTGCGCTGGACGTCCGTGAAAAAGAGCTTTACAGCTCATCGGATTCCTCCAGTACGAATAAATATTGTGGTATGTTTGCCTGTAGAAGTGTTGCCTGTAGTTGTGTTTGCCTGTAGATGTATTAACTGTAGTTGTGCTTGCCTGTAGTTGTGTTTGCCTGTAGACATTACCTGTAGCTGTGTTTGCCTGTAGATGTGTTTGCATTAGATGATCTCCCAAGCGAAATGCTGACAAAGGGTGGCGTTTGTGCACAGACTGCCCTACATGACATCATAACAACAGTCTGGACCACTGGACCTGTTCCACAGGATTGGAAGGATGCCCTTGTTGTCCCCCTCTTTAAGAAGGGGGATTGCACAGACTAACAACTACAGGGGCATCTCACTCCTCAGTGTGCCGGGAAAGGTCCTGGCAAGGATTATTCAACATCGCCTTGCCAGGCACGCTGAGGAGAGGCTTGCGGAGCCTCAATGTGGTTTCAGGAAAGGGCCATCCTGCACAGATGCCATATTTTCTGTCCGTCTGCTACAGCAGAGGTGTAGGGAATTCCAACAAGACCTACATCTGCTTTATTGACCTGGTCAAGGCCTATAATACCATCAGTAGGTCTGGGCTCGGGGTTGTTCTTCGTGCTTTCGGAGTCCCTGACCCTCTGCTCACGATCATTAAGGACCTTCATGATGGTGAGCAGGCCCGGGTAAAACTACGTGGCCGGGAGTCGGAGCCATTCCCTGTACACCTTGGGGTGCGACAGGGATGTCCTCTGGCTCCCACATTATATAACATCTAGTTCGACCACGTAGTTTGTGAAGTCTTCAATGACTGTACTGGAGGAATTTCCATCTGGTACAGATAAAATGGGAGGCTGAACGATGCCTGGGTGCGGCTAAAGGATGGCTCCCTGTTGGTCAACCACGTTATGTATGCCGATGATCTGGTGATTGCTGCTCACTCAGAGGAGTTGGAGGCGCTGCTGCTGAACCTGGAGCCTGCCACTAAGAGGTGGGGTCTTACCATCAGCCCCACCAAAACTGAGCACCTGCCTGGGTATGTTGTACCATCAGACACTCCACGCCACAACTCCCAATTGGTGATGGGGCAGTTGTGGAGAAAGTGGAGAGTTTTACATACCTGGGCAGTGTGCTCATGACTGGCTCCGGTTTGACAGCAGAGGTCTCACTCCGAATCAGTTTCGAGGCATTATCTTTTCATTGGCTGCGTAACGCTGCGTAGAAGCTACCTGGTCTGTCGCTCCACACGAAGATTCAGGTCTTTTCAGCCACGGTCATACCCTGCCTTCTCTACGCTTGCAAAACGTGTACCCCCGAATGGAAACTCTTCGTTGGTTAAAGACATTTAGGCTGGCCTGCCTACGATCCATCCTGGGTTTAACCAGGCTGGATTATGTGAGGAGCTCACAAATCCTTGAAAGATCTGAGCAAGGTCCCATCGGTGAGCTCCTCTGGCAGGCAAGGCTGCGTTGGCTAGGTCATGTAGCAGCTTGCATGCCCAGCCACCGCATGCCTAAACAGCTTTTGTTCGGCCGGATAGATGGGGCTAAACTGGCGAAGCATGGGCTAGAGAAGAGATGGAGTGATGTGGTACAAGAGGATATGGAGCTGAGTTTACTTGCCGATGACTGGTACCAGCGGTGTCAAGATCGGCCTCTGTGGAAGAGGCTCATGAAGGACGCTACTGGGCAGTTGGAGGCAGCCGCCCTCCAGTAACAACAGAGGGCAGAGGAGTGATGCTCACAACAACGAGCAAAATGTTGAGTGGCTAAAACACAGCAAGTTGGCACAGTACGGGGCACAGGTGGTGCATCAGCCAGTCGTCTCAGTCGACTCATGTCACCTGGGTCTGCCCCATGACCTCCTGCCAGCGGGCATTCGACACTTCACGTGGCCTTAGCGTGCACATAGCCTGGCACAAGCGTCGTGGTGACGTCACCGCAACTGAGTGGCGAATGGCGGTTGTTGTGTGTGGGGGAGGGCCCTGTGTGTGTGAGGGGGGGGGGGCGTGTGGTCGTGGGAGTCCCTGTGTGTGTGTGGAGGGGGGCTGCAGGTGTGGGGGGCCCTGTAAGTGTTTGGGGTGTGGCAGAGAGCGCTGCGCTACGGACCTGGTGACACGAGTTCGATTCCCGAGAACCGGTCGTCGGCCTCCCCTAGGTCGACTCAACCTCAAATGAGTATCGAGTGCTGTGTGTAAACTTCGCCACTGGGGAGACAAAGGCGGCCGGACGTGGTGCTGGCCACCCATCCCCTCGTGTGTCGTGCCGGCCTTCATAGGTGCTCGCTAACAGCACTTGCCCCAAAAGTCTGTTAAGGCTACACGGGGGATCTGTGTCTTTTTTTGTGGGGTGGGGAAGGGGCTGTGCCCTGAAGAGCCATGGAGGAGGTGACACGCAGGAGGACACGAGGAGGAGGAGGAGGCGGTGGGGGGCTGCCCCCTCGTCACGGCCCCCCAGGACTCGTGACGGTCAGCGAGTCGCAGACCATCAGCAGGTGGGGAGGCAGGGAGGGGGGTGTGATGGCATCACCACGATGGTGGTGATGATAATTGTAGTCGTGATGTTGCCGATGATGGTGGTGACGTTGATCTAGATCGAGGATGCATACTCTTTGGTTATTTCGGTAAAGTGACGTAGGTATGAAATGAATTAAATCACGACGTTTCGGGCGCAACACCAGCGTCCGTCATCAGGTGGGACAACCACGTGACTTTACCGAAAGAACCAAAGAGTATGGATCCCTGCAGTCACGAAAACTTCAAATCTAGATTGGTGGTGATGTTGATTGTTATTTGATGATATTCAGGATGGTGATGTTAACGGTGATGGTGATGTTGACAGTGGTGGTGATGTTGATTGTTATTTTGATGATGTTCAGGATGGTGATGTTAACGGTGATGGTGATGTTCATGTTGGTGATGGTGATGTTGGCGGTGATGTTGATTATGATGTTTCTCGTGATGATGGCGATGTTGACAGTGGTGGTGATGTTGATGGTAATTTGATGTTGTTTATGGTGGTGAAGGTGACGTTGACGATGGTGGTGATGTTGATGGCGATGGTGGCGATAGCAATGTTGACGATGGTGGTGATGTTGATGACGATGGTGGTGAAGGTGACGTTGACGATAGTGATGTTGATGACGATCGTGGTGATGTTGTTTATCGTGTTGATGGTGATGTTGATGACGATAGTGATTTTGATGGTGATGTTGATGATGATGATCGTGGTGATGGTGATGTTACTGATGGTGGTGAAGGTGACGTTGACGATGGTGGTGATATTGATGATGGTGGTGGTAATAGTGATGTTGATGATGATGGTGGTGATGACGATGGTGGTGACGGTGATGTTGACGATGATGATGATGGTGGTGGTGATGTTGACGATGATGTTGATGATGATGGTGGTGATAGTGATGTTGACGATGATGTTGATGATGATGTTTATGTGTCTCTAGGCAGGAGCTACTGCGATCTCTTGATACCTACAACCTCTACTTGAGGGACCGCAAGGCGCTGCATCTGACTTGTCACGTGGTACACCGACATACAAAGACAAAGAACCCCCCCCCATAGCCTCAACAAACTGTTGTGGAAAGTGCTGTTAGCGAGCACCGATTAAGGCCGGCACAGGGCACTAGGAGGTGGGTGGCCAACACCGTGTCCGGCTGCCTTTTTTCTCCCCAGAGGTGATGTTTACACACCGCACCAGGTACTCATTTAAGCCGAAGTCGACCTAGGGGAAGCACGGTTCAGATACTCGTCACTGATGTTGCCAGTTAGTGGGAAGCGAACTCGCGTCGCTGGGTTTTAGTGCAGAGCGCTAACCGCTACACTCCCACTCCCCACACACACAAAGACACACGTACACACAAAGACACACACGTACACACAAAGACACACACGTACACACAAAGACACGTACACACAAAGACACACACGTACACACACAAAGACACACACGTACACACAAAGACACGTACACAAAGACACACACGTACACACAAAGACACACGTACACACACAAAGACACACACGTACACATACAAAGACACACACGTACACACAATTCCAACAACCGTTCGCCACTAAGTGGCGGTGACGTCACCACGGCGCTTGAGCCAGGCGAGGTGCATTTTGAGGGCACGTGCAGTATCGAAGGCTCACTGACAGGAGGTCACGGCACAGACCCATGTAGGCCATGGCAGCGCACTGCTCGTGTTTGCGAGCGTCGCTCCTCTGCCCTCCGTTTTTGATGGAGGGCGACTGCCTCCCAACTTCTCAGTAGCAGCGTCCTTCACGAGGCTCCTCCACAGAGGTCAATCTTGACACCACTGATACCGGTCATCGGAAAATCCAATCAGCTCCACAGCCTCCTGTACTGCTTGACCTCCATCTCTTCTCCAGCCTACGCTGCGCCCATTTAGCACCCCCTCCCCCCGCCTCTATCCGGCCAAGCCGAAGCTGCTTGGGCATGCGGGCAACATGACCAACCCAACACACACACACTCACATACACACACTAAAACAAGCTACACCTCTTCCTCACCACCCACCACGTGCCCCCCGCCACCTACCCTCCCCCCAGGATGGGGATCACGTGCTTGTGCAGGGCGCCCTGCCAGTCACGTGGGCACTCACGCGACCAATCAGGCTGCAGCTGAGCGACGACCTGCGCTCGCCCACGTGGCTCGCACTTCCTCCTGCCGCAAATTCTGGGAGGATGAGCAAGGGCGGCAGGTGACGTCACAACGCAGCCCGGCACCCACAGCATCCGCGACGTCACAAAGCGACGTCGCGACGCGGCCAGCGGTGGCGACGCCGCGCTGTGATGGTTGTGGAAGCCGGGCACTGGTGGCCGTGGCTATGGTAGTAACTGTGGTTGTGGTAGTGGCCGTGGCTATGGTAGTGGCCGTGGCTATGGTAGTGGCCGTGGCTATGGTAGTGGCTGTGGTAGTGGCCGTGGTTATGGTAGTGGCCGTGGCTATGGTAGTGACTGTGGTTGTGGTAGTGGCCGTGGTTGTGGTAGTGGCCGTGGCTGTGGTAGTGGCCGTGGCTGTGGTAGTGGCCGTGGCTATGGTAGTGGCAGTGGCTATGGTAGTGGCTATGGTAGTGGCCGTGGCTATGGTAGTGACTGTGGTTGTGGTAGTGGCCGTGGTTGTGGTAGTGCCCGTGGCTGTGGTAGTGGCCGTGGCTGTGGTAGTGGCCGTGGCTATGGTAGTGGCCGTGGCTATGGTAGTGGCTGTGGTAGTGGCCGTGGCTATGGTAGTGGCCGTGGCTATGGTAGTGACTGTGGTTGTGGTAGTGGCCGTGGTTGTGGTAGCGGCCGTGGCTGTGGTAGTGGCCGTGGCTGTGGTAGTGGCCGTGGCTATGGTAGTGGCTGTGGCTATGGTAGTGACTGTGGTTGTGACTGTGGCTATGGTAGTGGCTATGGTAGTGGCTGTGGCTATGGTAGTGACTCTGGTTGTGGCTGTGGCTATGGTAGTGACTGTGGCTATGGTAGTGACTGTGGCTATGGTAGTGGCCGTGGCTATGGTAGTGGCCGTGGCTATGGTAGTGGCCGTGGCTATGGTAGTGACTGTGGTTGTGACTGTGGCTATGGTAGTGGCTATGGTAGTGGCTGTGACTATGGTAGTGGCTATGGTAGTGGCTGTGGCTATGGTAGTGACTGTGGTTGTGACTGTGGCTATGGTAGTGGCTGTGGCTATGGTAGTGACTCTGGTTGTGGCAGTGGCTATGGTAGTGGCTATGGTAGTGGCTGTGGCTATGGTAGTGACTGTGGTTGTGACTGTGGCTATGGTAGTGGCTATGGTAGTGGCTGTGGCTATGGTAGTGACTCTGGTTGTGGCTGTGGCTATGGTAGTGACTGTGGCTATGGTAGTGACTGTGGCTATGGTAGTGGCCGTGGCTATGGTAGTGGCCGTGGCTATGGTAGTGGCCGTGGCTATGGTAGTGGCTGTGGCTATGGTAGTCACTGTGGTTGTGACTGTGGCTATGGTAGTGGCTATGGTAGTGGCTGTGACTATGGTAGTGGCTATGGTAGTGGCTGTGGCTATGGTAGTGACTGTGGTTGTGACTGTGGCTATGGTAGTGGCTGTGGCTATGGTAGTGACTCTGGTTGTGGCTGTGGCTATGGTAGTGGCTATGGTAGTGGCTGTGGCTATGGTAGTGACTGTGGTTGTGACTGTGGCTATGGTAGTGGCTATGGTAGTGGCTGTGGCTATGGTAGTGACTCTGGTTGTGGCTGTGGCTATGGTAGTGGCTATGGTAGTGGCTGTGGCTATGGTAGTGACTCTGGTTGTGGCTGTGGCTATGGTAGTGACTGTGGCTATGGTAGTGACTGTGGCTATGGTAGTGGCCGTGGCTATGGTAGTGGCCGTGGCTATGGTAGTGGCTGTGGCTATGGTAGTGGCCGTGGCTATGGTAGTGACTGTGGTAGTGGTAGTGACTGTGTTAGGGGCCGTCCATAAATTACGTCACGCACCTAGGGAGGGGGCGGGGGGGGTCAGACATTTGTGACGATGTGTGACGAGGAGGGGGGGGGGGTGAGAAATGTGACGTCACATCAAAATGTGCAGCTTTAAATAAATATAGACAACACGTTCTACTTAATTAAATAGACTTTTTTAATACTGGTAGGAACCTCCTGGTTACACCAGCCCACAGGGGATTATTGTGTCCGTCCGTCGTGCATCCAAAAATGGGAGGGGTGGGGCTGGGTGGAGAGGGGAGGGTGGGGAGGGGCTGGGTGGAGAGGGAGGGGCTGGGTGGGTAGGGGTGGGGCTGGGTGGGGAGGGGCTGGTCACCCCGTGGTGCCCTTATAAAACTCAACATTTAACCTACTCACGCCGGCTTGTGCCCGCCCTCACAGTCGGGCATATTTGCGGAATACACCACGTGGTGCCGCCGTTGACCCTGGCCATTGACCGAGCAACCCAACGTTCCTACCAGCTCCCTCCGCAAGAATGTGTTTAATGTTTTCTCCTACAACATCAGAGTGCAGCGCCACATTTAATACGCCGTATGACGAGGGGGGGAGGGGGGGGGGTAAAAATCGTCCAAAATCGCGTGACGTCATTTATGGACGGTCCCTTAGTGGCTGTGGTAGTAGCTGTGTTTGTTGATGTGGTAGTGGCTGTGGCTTTTGATGCGGTTGTTGTTGTTGTTGACAGAGGCATGGTTCGCTGGGATGGGTTCTCAGATCTCAACACGGTGGGAGAAGCTCCAGGTACCACACTCACTCATCACTCGTGAGACTCGCCGCACTCTCCTCACTTTTACCACGCTTACTAAACTCACCACTCACTCACCACACTCACCTCCCTCACCACCACCATCACCGCGCTTACTCCACGTAACTGCCGCCCTCGCCCCCAACTCAGAGGCAGCAGCAGCAGCAGCTTTGACCCCCCCAGGGCCCCCCAGGGTCCCTGACCCGGGGCCTGACGCGGATCTTGGGGCCCTGCTGCGAACCCGCAGCGACGCGGGGGTCCTGCGCAGACAGAAGGGGGGCCGGCGGAGGAAGGGGTGCCCCCCAGTGTCACCGGGGGTGGAGGAGCACAGAGTGTCCATCAACGGGCACTTCTACAACCACCAGGTGGAGTGCAGCTCCCCCCCTCTCCCACCCCCACCCCCGTCACACAGCCTCCCCCCCGCCGTGCCCCCCCACCTCGTCACACAACCCCCCACCTGTGCCACCCCCACCTCGTCACACAACCCCCCCACCTGTGCCCCCCACCTCGTCACACAGCCCCCCACATGTGCCCCCCCCACCTCGTCACACAGCCCCCCACCTGTGCCCCCCCACCTCGTCACACAGCCCCCCCACCTGTGCCCCCCACCTCGTCCCACAGCCCTCCCCCCCCGCTAGGGTTACGTGGTTCCACCCCCAGCCCTTGATGATGGTGGTGACCTTACTCATTGGTTTTTTTATGATGGTGACCTTCTTGGAAAGTGCCGTGAAAGCCAAAACCGCGATATTCAATACTTGAGCCTTGCTAAATAATTGGGTTAGGTACACGGCCACCAGAAATAGAGCCGTCACAGTACTGTGTTGTATGCCAAACGAGCTTTACTACCCGGCTTCGCCCGGGACTTGGATTAACCTTTGTCTCCCCAGTCGTGATGTTCACACACCGCACCAGTTATTCGTTTTAGGCTGAGTCGACCTAGGGGAGGCCCAGGACCAGTTCAAATAATCGTCACCTGTGGTGGCCGTGAGCGGGAATCGAACTCGGGTGGCCAGGTTCGTAGCGCAGCGTAGCGCTAAGCACTACACTACAATGCGTGACGCTTTCACGTGCGCGGGTCACGTGACAGATTTGACGTCACAGCTCACTTGCCGTGCAAAAAAAATACATAATCGAGCTCCCCCCCCCCCTCCCAAAATCAAAATTGTATTTTTATAATTGTTGCATGGTGTATATTCTGGAAAGTACCCACATGGCAAATTTCCAGTTTGTTGCATGTCGGGAAGTACGCTAAACATTTTGAACAGAGACACACAATCACAACTTTGCCTTTTATATATATGGAGATAAACTAAACACAAAATGAATGAACTAAATGTGTTTTTTAAAAACCCTGCACAAAAACATTCCTAAACAATAAATAGTCGAATAAAGATGGAACACATACTGGGGAACTTCTTTTGCACCGTGCGTAGCCAACCGCGCTAATTGGAGGCGCTACGGTTAACAACGTTGTGCTACGGTTAACAACGTCGTGCTACGGTTAACCACGCTGCGCTACAGTTAACAACGTCGCGCTACGGTTAACAATGTCGTGCTACGGTTAACAACGTCGCGCTACGGTTAACAACGTCGTGCTACGGTTAACAACGTTGTGCTATGGTTAACGTCGTGCTACGGTTAACAACGTTGTGCTACGGTTAACAACGTCGTGCTACGGTTAACAACGTTGTGCTACGTTAACAACGCCGCGCTACGGTTAACAACGCCGCGCTATGGTTAACAACGTCGTGCTACGGTTAACAACGTCGCGCTACGGTTAACAACGTCGCGCTACGGTTAACAATGTCGCGCTACGGTTAACAACGTCGTGCTACGGTTAACAACGTCGCGCTACGGTTAACAACGTCGCGCTACGGTTAACAACGTTGTGCTACGTTAACAACGCCGCGCTACGGTTAACAACGTTGTGCTACGGTTAACAACGTCGTGCTACGGTTAACAACGCCGCGCTACGGTTAACAACGTTGTGCTACGGTTAACAACGTCGCGCTACGGTTAACAACGTCGTGCTACGGTTAACAACGTTGTGCTACGTTAACAACGCCGCGCTACGGTTAACAACGTTGTGCTACGGTTAACAACGCCGCGCTACGGTTAACAACGCCGCGCTACGGTTAACAACGCCGCGCTACGGTTAACAACGCCGCGCTACGGTTAACAACGCCGCGCTACGGTTAACAAAGTCGTGCTACGGTTAACAACGCCGTGCTACGGTTAACAACGCCGTGCTACGGTTAACAACGCCGTGCTACGGTTAACAACGTCGCGCTACGGTTAACAACGTCGTGCTACGGTTAACAACGCCGTGCTACGGTTAACTACGTTGTGCTACGGTTAACAACGTCGTGCTACGGTTAACAACGTTGTGCTACGGTTAACAACGTTGTGCTACGGTTAACAACGCTGTGCTACGGTTAACAACGCCGTGCTACGGTTAACTACGTTGTGCTACGGTTAACAACGTTATGCTACGGTTAACAACGCTGTGCTACGGTTAACAACGCTGTGCTACGGTTAACAACGTCGCGCTACGGTTAACAACGTCGCGCTACGGTTAACAACGTCGCGCTACGGTTAACAACGTCGCGCTACGAACCCGGCGAGCCGAATTCGATTCCCGCTCATGGCCAACACCAGTGACGATTATCTGAATCGGTTCTGGGCCGCCCCTAGGTCGACTCAGCCTCAAATTAGTATCTGGTGCGGTGTGTAAACATCGCCACTGGGGAGACAAAGGCGGCCCGGCGTGGTGTTGGCCACCCACCCCCTCGTGTGCCGTGCCGGCCTTCATAGGTGCTCGCTAACAGCACTTGCCCCAGCGTTCTGTTAAAAGGCTATACGTGGGGTATTTAACTTTGGTGGTGGTGATGTTCATGGTGATGATGGTGGTGATGTTGATGGTGATGATGGTGGTGATGTTGATGGTGATGATGTTGAAGGTGGCGCTGTCCATTCACCCCGTCGCGTGCGGTGTCGGCCTTCATTGGAACTCCCATGCGCTGACAGCATTTTCCCCTAGCGTCTGGTGAAGGCTACATGGGGGGAGCTTTGCCTGTGTCTGTGTGCAGACTGCGGTGTTCACGCCGGAGTTTGGCTGCGTCACAAACGTGGTGATCAGCAGTGACCTGACGAGCGAGCACGTGATGCTCCTGCTGCTACAGAAATTCCGCGTGAGTTGGCACCACATGGCCATCATCACCATCGCCAGCATCACACCACCACTGTGATCATCACCATCACCACCATCACACCACCGTCACCGCCATCACCACCGTCACCACCACCACTCATATCATGACCATCACCACCATCACGCAACATTACCACCATCACCACCATCACCGCTGTCACCACCACTAATATCATGACCATTACCACCGTCACCATCGTCACCACCGTCACCACCGTCACCACCACTAATATCACGACCATCACCACTATCAAGCACCATCACCACCACCACTATCATCATTACCATTACCACGGTCACCCCCATCAGCACTGTTATCATTGCCACCACCACCACCATCACCACCACCATCACTGTGTCTCACCGTGTGGTTGTGGTTGTTGTGGTTGCGTCTCAGATTGAGAACGCCGCACACGACTTCTGCTTCGTTCTGCAGCACAGCACAGGAGGTGCGGGACTCACAACCACAACCCCCACCACAACAACCACCACAACCACCATCACTACAACATCACAACCACCACAACCATCACATCCACAACCACCACAACCACCATAACCACCACAACCACCACAACCACCTCCACAACCATCACATCCACTACCACAACCACCATAACCACCACAGCCACCACCACAACAATATACACAACAACATAACACGAGAATAATTAGATACACAACCAACACAACCACAAAATACGCACCAAACACACTATTCACACAAATTACCACCACCAACCACAATAACCACAACAACCACAGCAACCATAACAACAAAAACAATGTCATCAATAACGACCACAGCAATAACCACAACAGCGACAACTGCACAATGCAACACTGCGTGCTATGTATACTTGCTGCTACGTGTGTACTGCCTGTGTACTGTGTGTGTACTGTGTGTGTACTGTGTGTGTACTGTGTGTGTATTGTGTACTGAGTTTGTACTGTGTGTGTACTGCATGTGTACTGTGTGTACTGCATGTGTACTGCATGTGTACTGCATGTGTACTGTGTGTACGGTGTGTGTTTACTGTGTGTGTACTAAGTGTGTGTACTGCCCGTGTACTGTGTATTGTGTACTGCGTGTGTACTGCGTGTGTACTGTGTGTGTGTACTGTGTGTGTGTACTGCGTGTGTACTGCGTGTGTACTGCCTGTGTACTGCGTGTTTACTGCGTATTGTGTACTGCGTTTGTACTGCCTGTGTACTGCGTGTACTGTGTGTGTACTGCGTGTGTACTGTGTGTGGGTACTGCGTGTGTACTGCGTGTGTACTGTGTGTACTGTGTGTATACTGTGTACTGTGTGTACTGCCTGTGTACTGCGTGTGTACTGCGTGTGAACTGCCTGTGTACTGCGTGTGTACTGGGTGTGTACTGTGTGTACTGTGTGTGTATACTGTGTGTGTGTGTACTGCGTGTGTACTGTGTGTGTGTACTGTGTATGTGTACTGTGTGTGTGTACTGTGTGTGTACTGCGTGTGTACTGTGTGTGTGTACTGCCTGTTTACTGCGAGTGCACTGCGTGTGTGTACTGTGTGTGTACTGCCTGTGTACTGTGTGTGTACTGTGTGTGTGTACTGTGTGTGTACTGTGTGTACTGTGTATTGTGTACTGTGTGTGTACTGTGTATTGTGTACTGTGTATTGTGTACTGCGTGTGTACTGCCTGTGTACTGTGTGTGTACTGTGTGTGTGTACTGTGTGTGTACTGCATGTGTACTGCGTGTGTACTGTGTATTGTGTACTCTGTGTGTACTGTGTATTGTGTACTGTGTATTGTGTACTGCGTGTGTACTGCCTGTGTACTGTGTGTGTACTGTGTGTGTACTGCATGTGTACTGCTTGTGTACTGTGTATTGTGTTCTGTGTGTGTGTGTGCTGCGTGTGTACTGCCTGTGTACTGCGTGTGTGTACTGTGTATTGTGTACTGTGTGTGTGTGTACGGCGTGTGTACTGTGTGTGTACTGTGTGTGTACTGCCTGTGTACTGCGAGTGTACTGCGTGTGTGTACTGCGTGTGTACTGTGTGTACTGTGTGTGTACTGCCTGTGTACTGCGTATGTACTGCGTGTGTGTACTGTGTGTGTACTGCCTGTGTACTGTGTGTGTGTACTGCCTGTATACTGCGCGTGTACTGTGTGTACTGTATGTACTGTGTGTGTACTACCTGTGTACTGCGTGTTACTGTGTGTACTGTGTGTGTGTACTGTGTGTGTACTCCATGTGTACTGTGTGTACTGTGTGTGTATACTGTGTGTGTTGCTGTGTGTGTACTGCGTGTATACTGTGTGTGTACTGTGTGTACTGCATGTGTACTGCGTGTATTGTGTGTGTACTGTGTGTGTGTACTGTGTGTGTACTGTGTATTGTGTACTGTGTATTGCATACTGCGTGTGTAATGTGTGTGTACTGTCTGTGTACTGCGTGTGTACTGTGTGTGTGTACTCTGTGTGTACTGCATGTATACTGTGTGTGCACTGTGTATTGTGTACTGAGTGTGTGTGTGCTGCGTGTGTACTGCGTGTGTGTACTGTGTGTGTGTACTGACTGTGTACTGCGAGTGTACTGCGTGTGTACTGTCTGTGTACTGTGTGTGTACTGCGTGTGTGTACTGTGTGTGTACTGCCTGTGTACTGTGTGTACTGTGTGTGTACTGTGTGTGTGTGTGTACTACCTGTGTACTGCGTGTGTACTGTGTGTGTGTACTGTGTGTGTGTACTCCGTGTGTACTGTGTGTACTGTGTGTGTACTGTGTGTGTGCTGTGTGTGTACTGCGTGTGTACTGTGTGTGTACTGTGTGTGTACTGTGTGTGTGTACTGCGTGTGTACTGTGTGTGTACTGTGTGTACTGTGTGTGTACTGCGTGTATTGTGTGTGTCTACTGTGTGTCTACTGTGTGTGTACTCTGTGTGTACTGTGTGTGTACTGCGTGTGTACTGTGTGTACTGCGTGTGTACTGTGTGTGTGTACTGTGTGTGTGTACTGTGTGTACTGCGTGTGCACTGTGTGTGTACTGCGTGTGTACTGTGTGTGTACTGCGTGTGTACTGTGTGTACTGCGTGTGTACTGTGTGTGTACTGTGTGTGTACTGCGTGTGTACTGCGTGTACTGTGTGTGTATTGTGTGTACTGCGTGTGTACTGCGTGTGTACTGTGTGTGTACTGTGTGTGTACTGCCTGTGTACTGTGTGTGTACTGCCTGTGTACTGTGTGTACTGTGTGTGTACTGCGTGTGTACTGTGTGTACTGTGTGTGTACTGCCTGTGTACTGCCTGTGTACTGTGTGTGTGTACTGTGTGTGTACTGCGTATGTACTGTGTGTGTACTGCCTGTGTACTGTGTGTGTGCACTGTGTTTGTACTGCGTGTGTACTGTGTGTGTACTGTGTGTGTACTGTGTATGTGTACTGCCTGTGTCCTGTGTGTGTGTACTGTGTGTGTACTGCGTGTGTACTGTGTGTGTACTGTGTGTTTACTGTGTGTGTACTGTGTGTACTGTGTGTGTACTGTGTTTGTTTACTGTGTGTGTACTGTGTGTACTGTGTTTGTACTGTGTGTACTGTGTGTGTACTGTGTGTGTACTGCGTGTGTACTGCGTGTGTACTGTGTGTACTGCGTGTGTACTGCGTGTGTACTGTGTGTGTACTGCGTGTGTACTGCGTGTACTGCGTGTGTACTGTGTGTACTGTGTGTACTGCGTGTGTACTGCGTGTACTGTGTGTGTACTGTGTGTTTGTGTACTGTGTGTACTGTGTGTGTGTACTGCGTGTGTACTGTGTGTATGTACTGTGTGTGTTTACTGTGTGTGTGTACTGCGTGTGTACTGTGTGTGTGTACTGTGTATGTGTACTGTGTGTACTGCGTGCGTACTGCGTGTGTACTGTGTGTGTGTACTGTGTGTGTACTGTGTGTGTGTACTGCGTGTGTACTGTGTGTGTGTGTACTGTGTATGTGTACTGTGTGTACTGCGTGCGTACTGCGTGTGTACTGTGTGTGTGTACTGTGTGTGCACTGCGTGTACTGTGTGTGTACTGTGTGTACTGTGTGTGTACTGTGTGTGTACTGCGTGTGTACTGTGTGTGTACTGTGTGTGTACTGTGTGTGTGTACTGTGTGTGTACTGCGTGTATACTGTGTGTACTGTGTGTGTGTACTGCGTGTGTACTGTGTGTGTGTACTGTGCGTGTACTGTGTGTGTACTGCGTGTGTACTGTGTGTGTGTACTGTGTGTACTGTGTGTGTGTACTGCGTGTGTACTGTGTGTGTACTGCGTGTGTACTGCGTGTACTGTGTGTGCACTGTGTGCACTGTGTGTACTGTGTGTACTGTGTGTGTAATGTGTGTGTGTGTACTGCGTGTGTACTGCGTGTGTACTGTGTGTGTACTGTGTGTGTGTACTGTGTGTGTACTGTGTGTGTACTGTGTGTACTGCGTGCGTACTGTGTGTACTGGTTGTGTACTGTGTGTGTACTGCGTGTGTACTGTGTGTGTACTGTGTGTGTGTACTGTGTGTACTGTGTGTGTGTACTGTGTGTGTACTGTGTGTGTACTGTGTGTGTGTGTGTACTGTGTGTGTGTACTGTGTGTACTGCGTGTGTACTATGTGTGTGTACTGTGTGTACGGTGTGTGTGTACTGCGTGTGTACTGTGTGTGTACTGTGTGTGTACTGTGTGTACTTTGTGTGTGTACTGCGTGTGTACTGTGTGTACTGCGTGTGTACTGTGTGTGTGTGTACTGTGTGTACTGTGTGTGTGTGTACTGCGTGTGTACTGTGTGTGTACTGTGTGTGTACTGTGTGTACTGTGTGTGTACTGTGTGTATGTACTGTGTGTGTGTACTGTGTGTGTGTGTACTGTGTGTGTGTGTACTGTGTGTGTGTACTGTGTGTGTGTGTGTACTGTGTGTACTGTGTGTGTACTGTGTGTGTGTACTGTGTGTGTACTGTGTGTACTGTGTGTGTACTGTGTGTGTGTACTGTGTGTGTGTACTGTGTGTACTGTATGTACTGTGTGTGTACTGTGTGTGTACTGTGTGTGTACTGTGTGTACTGTGTGTGTACCGTGTGTACTGTGTGTGTACTGTGTGTGTACTGTGTGTGTAGTGTGTTTTTACTGTGTGTGTACTGTGTGTACTGTGTGTGTACTGTGTGTACTGTGTGTGTACTGTGTGTGTGTACTGTGTGTGTGTACTGTGTGTACTGTGTGTGTGTACTGTGTGTGTACTGTGTGTGTGTACTGTGTGTGTGTACTGTGTGTACTGTGTGTGTGTACTGTGTGTACTGTGTGTGTGTACTGTGTGTGTGTACTGTGTGTGTGTACTGCCTGTGTACTGCAGAGCGCCGCCGCTTGGCTCCCTCGGAGCGACCCCTCTTGGCCCAGCTGCTGCAGGGGCCGGACGAGCGCGTGGCGCGCATCCTCATCGTGGAGGCGGTCACTCACCGTGACGTCACTCACCAGGTGAGCGGCGCCTCGCCGGGGTGAGGGTCCCTCATCGTGACTCGTCGCTTGATTGGTGCAGTCACCCTGGGGTGTGGCGTGCTGCGGTGTGGTGCCCCGGTGTTTGGTGTGGCGCAGTGCACCTGGTGATGTGCGGTGCACATGCGGGCGGTGCGGTGACGCTGGTGCGGTACGGTGACCCTGGTGCGGAACGCTACGGAGACCCTGGTGCAGTCCAGTGCGGTGCAGTGCGGTGACCCTGGTGCGGTGCAGTGCGGTGATTATGGTGCGGAACGCTGCGGTGACTCTGGTGCGGTGACTCTTGTGTGGTGATTATGGTGCGGTGCAGTGCGGTGACCCTGGTGCGGTGCAGTGCGGTGACTGGTGCGGTGAACGTTGGTGTGCGGTGCCCTGTAGGAGGCCCAGTTTCTGGGCCTGGATTTGCCTCTGCTCCTTGTGCTGGTTCAGCGCCTGGAGAAGGAGGAGGAGGAGGCGGTGGAGCGGGTGAGGCAACGGTGAGGAGTTGTGAGTGAGCACGCGGGGTGTGAGTCAGTGTGCAAGTCACTTTCCGGGTAGTCTGTTAAGGCTATACAGGGGACATTTTTGCGTTTGGGTGAGTGTGTAGTTGCGTGTGTAGGTATTGGTGAGTGTGTAGGTGAGTGTATTGGTGAGTGTGTAGGTGAGTGTATTGGTGAGTATGTAGCTGAGTGTTTTAGTGAGTGTATTGGTGAGTGTGTAGGTGAGTGTGTAGCTGAGTGTGGAGGTGAGTGTGTAGCTGAGTGTGTAGCTGAGTGTGTAGCTGAGTGTGTAGCTGAGTGTGTAGGTGAGTGTGTAGCTGAGTGTGTAGCTGAGTGTGATTATCGCTGTGCCCTCATCAGGTACCGCGAGCTCCGCTCCTCTATCCGGAGGAAGATGAGCTCCATCAGACGCATGGAGACGTCTGTGTGAGGTTTCACCGCGGTCCCTCGTGTTCGCCAGGGTTCCAACCGGAGCTGCCCAGGGCCGAGCTCCAGAAACTAATCCCGGCACCCGGCACACCACAACCAGTATGCCTCTTCTCACTCCGAGGCGATGCTTACGAGTCACGTGTCACCACCCCAGGGACATATTTATCCCCTGGGGATTGACGACCCTCTCAGAGGTCAAGGTTGATGAGGGTTGACCTCCTGGGTCCCTGGTGTGACCCTTGTAGTTGACCGTGGCTCTGGGGGGCTTACAGAGCGGCAGCGCAGTGGTCACAGCGAGAAGCGTCTGGGCGTTCCCCCCCCACCCTCTTCTGCAGAGTGAACGTGTGAGTGGACACAGGCCAGGGGGCAGTCCCCGGTGGGCCGGTCCATTCAGAGGGCCGGTGGGCCGGTCTGTGTGGCGAAATGGCCACATTTTTTGAGAGTGAAAAAAAAATGTGGCGAAATGGCCACATTTTTTGAGAGTACGTACGTGTATTCTTTTTTTATTAAAATATTTTATTACTTCCATTGTGTACGCCTCCTTGCTTATTTACGCCCGAGGTTTTGCATTACGGCAGCCCCGAAAGAATCTTCCTCACCGGGCCGTTTGGTGTTTTTTTTGGCCCGAACCAAATGGGTCCAATGAGATCGCACGGCAGTTTGGGCCTGGTGGGTTTACAAATGCCCGCGCCGACTTTTAGTCCCATTCTGTCACTGGACGCAGTCCAATCATCCGTGAACTCCTCCAGCAGGCGAGGCTGTGGTGGCCGGTTCATGTTAGCCTGACATATCCAGCGGCCGCATGTGCAAGCAGTTTCTGTTTTGGCCGCATAGAGGGGGCTACACCGGCATTGCACGGACTAGAGAAGAGATGGAATGATGCGTTACAGGAGGATGTGGAGCTGAGTGGACTTACCGAAGATCGGTGCCGGCGGTGTCAAGATCAGTCTCCGTGGAGGAGGCCCGTGAAAGGACGCTGCTTGGCAGTTGGAGGCAGTCGCCCTCCAGCGACGGCAGAGGGCAGAGAAGCGACGCTCACAACGACGAGCCGAGCGCCAGCGGCTTAAACGCAGCAGAGTTGGCACAGTGGGGGGGGGGCGCAGGTGGTGCCATCTGCCCTTGATCTCAATCAACCCATGACATATGGGTCTGTCCCGTGACCCGACAGCAGCGTGCATTCCCCACGTCACGTAACCTCAAAGTGCAGCGATCCTGTTACACGCACCGTGGGATGGTGTCGCCGTCACTTCGTTCTTGTTGCTGGCGAGTACGTACGAGAAGCGGTGTAAGAGTGAGTGGAGTTTGTAAGCTCTCTCTCTGTTCTGAGTGGGTTTTCTCCGATTCCCTCCTCCCATAGCTAAACCTCCATAAACAGCCAAACCGCATCGCCAATGTTGAAATATCACCCGCAAATCTGTCAGCTGGGATCGCGCAGCAGCAGCATCGTTCCCTGCTGCTGCTGTTGCGACGAACTCGGCAGGACCCTCCTGCACACGGAGTCGTGAGACCGCGATGTTGATCATGATCATCGCAGCGACCTCTGTGCATCGGCCGCGGTGAGGAAGAGGTTGGTGTGGAGATGAACTCCCCGTGTTTTGTGGCGTTGATGTCGGTGTGGTCACGCCGAATAAAACACGACCTCTACTTGTCCACGTGGCGGGGCTGGTTGTTGCAAACGACACGAAAGCCACCAACCACCGCGTGAATCACTTCAGCCGCCTCTCTCCCTCCCCGACTCCACTTCGCATTGAGCTGGGCACCTGTTGCTCATCTCCCGGTTCACAGCCCCGCAGAGCGCCAGTGCTGGAAATTCCACGTTCCTATGGCGGGAGGTGCCAGTCTCTCTGAAAGACAACAGCTGTCGATCTGCCCCGCACGACGTCAGAGGGAGCAATGATGAGCCGAATCAATCCCCTCCGGCCATGGTCAATCCACTGCTGGATGAAGACCCCTCCCCCCCTCCCCTCCCCCCAAGCTGTTATCTCTCACGATCCAGCGATGTAACAATTCACCCAACACCTGCTCTGTCACAGCAGCTCATTTCATGGCTCCATCTCCTTCGGCGGTCGAAAACCTCTCGGACGCGTTCCGTGCCTTGGCTGCCGCTCCGTCATTAGTGTTGACCATCGCCCACCACCATCATCATCATTATCCATCCGTCTGCATCACTCACGAGTGGATGTTAAAGATCCCGTGACGTCGCTCACAAGAACCAGGCCATTGTGCGCCTGCGTGACGGCCCGTCCAAATTTGCCTAATTTGAAATAATACTCCGAAAATGAAGTCAGTTTGGATCACACACGGGAGCAATCATCCCCCCCCCCCCGCGCCCCACCACTGCTGTGAATACATGGCAGGACCCTCCTGTAGAACAGTCCTGAGACTCGGTGAGGCTTTCCGTGGTAGACAAACAGAATCACGATAATCACAATCACCCATATCAGCTGTGAGCGATTTAAAGGGTACAGGCATAGGTACAGGCGACGTTTCAACACCTCTCCGCCCTATGTGCTGTAAGGGCCATTTCCCGAAACGTCGCCCATGATATAAACTAAAGACTTTTTTTAAAAAAATATTTGACCAGGTAAGGCACGCTGAGCTATATAGCTCTTTTTCAGCGGCGACCTGGCCACGAATGACAGCGCAACGAAGCGGCTTACCATCACGTGGAAATGTGCAGCAGTTAAATACTCTAAACGCGTGTACTTGGTCACTTCGTGCCACACACACACACAGTACGCTATTGTTTACCGTGCTGTACACGAGGTGGGGTTCACGATTCTCCTGCAGCACAGTACGGCAATTGGGAGTGATGGGCATTCATCGACTCTCTAAGCCAGAAAATCCGTCGACGCTGGCGACGATTAAATCGTCGATTCCTGCTGCCACGCGCTTGCCCCCCTCCCCCCGCCAGGGCATTTAATATGCAAATTAGCTCGTGTGCGAGAGATGGTGGGGGAGGGATTGGGGGGGGGTCTGGCTTGTCCAATCAGAGTGCGAGGTCGGAGGAGGGAGAGGGACTTCCGTTCGTCCAATCGGAGCGCTGAGTGGGAGGAGAGTTGGTAAGGCGGGGTCTGGGCCCGTCCAATCAGAGCGCGCGCCGGATTTAAATGCCCTCGCATCACGTGGCGGACGCCGCCCGGCAAGATTTCCCCGGCACTTTTTTTTGCCACGTGTTCGGCCTCCACGTGGTCTAACGTCGCCTTCGCGAGGAACTTTTTCCCGCCACTCCCCCCCTACCACCACCACTCGCGAAGCTCATTTAGGGAAGTAACTCCCCTCCACCACCCTGTTTTAAAACCAGTTTGTACTTTCCGCCAGTTGTACTACACCCCCCCCCCCCCGCCATTTGTTACGATCCGCCAGATTACGGGCCACGTCTTTTTGCCCCCCCCCACCTCTCGATCCGCCGTCTGACGAGTTGTGGGGCGACCCCGAGAGGATTGAGCAGAGAGATCGGGGATCAAAGCATCCCCGCCGGGAGTTTACGGCGCGTGGGTGAACCCCGTGGTGGTGGTGGTGGAGGCAGCGGGCGGTTTGGAGAAGCGAGCGGCCGCTGCTGAGCCATGGAGACGGAGGCGGTGCGAGCGGGGGAGGGAGGGGAGAGCACCGCGAGTTCGGAGTGTGAGTGGCGGGGGGAGGGAGAGCGTCCGGGGGTGAGGGTGTGGTGGCTGTGTTGGTTAAAGGCGTGGTGGTTGTGGTGGCTGTGTTGGTTAAAGGCGTGGTGGTTGTCGTGGTTGTGGTGGTTGTAGGCGTGGTGGTTGTGGTGGTTGTGTTGGTTAAAGGCGTGGTGGTTGTGGTGGTTGTGGTGGTTGTAGGCGTGGTGTGGTTAAAGGTGTGGTGGTTGTGGTGTTTGTGGTGGTTGCGTTGGTTAAAGGCGTGGTGGTTGTGGTGGTTGTGTTGGTTAAAGGCGTGGTGGTTGTGGTGGTTGTGTTGGTTAAAGGCGTGGTGGTTGTGGTGGTTGTGTTGGTTAAAGGCGTGGTGGTTGTGGTGGTTGTGCTGGTTGTAGGCGTGGTGGTTGTGGTGGTTGTGTTGGTTGAAGGCGTGTTGGTTGTGGTGGTTGTGTTGGTTAAAGGCGTGGTGGTTGTTGTGGTTGCGTTGGTTAAAGGCGTGGTGGTTGTTTGTTAAAGGCGTGGTGGTTGTGGTGGTTGTGTTGGTTAAAGGCGTGGTGGTTGTGGTGGCTGTGTTGGTGAAAGGCGTGGTGGTTGTTTGTTAAAGGCGTGGTGGTTGTGGTGGTTGTTGGTTAAAGGCGTGGTGGTTGTGGTGGTTGTGTTGGTTAAAGGCGTGGTGGTTGTGGTGGTTGTGTTGGTTAAAGGCGTGGTGGTTGTGGTGGTTGTGTTGGTTAAAGGCGTGGTGTTTATGGTGGTTGTGTTGGTTGTAGGCGTGATGTTTATGGTGGTTGTGTTGGTTGTAGGCGTGGTGGTTGTGGTGGTTGTGTTGGTTGAAGGCGTGATGGTTGTGGTGGTTGTGTTGGTTAAAGGCGTGGTGGTTGTGTTGGTTAAAGGCGTGGTGGTTGTGTTGGTGAAAGGCGTGGTGGTTGTGGTGGTTGTAGGCGTGGTGGTTGTGGTGGTTAAAGGCGTGATGGTTGTGGTGGTTGTGTTGGTTAAAGGCGTGGTGGTTGTGGTGGTTGTGTTGGTGAAAGGCGTGGTGGTTGTGGTGGTTGTAGGCGTGGTGGTTGTGGTGGTTGTGTTGGTTAAAGGCGTGGTGGTTGTGGTGGTTGTGTTGGTTAAAGGCGTGGTGGTTGTGGTGGTTAAAGGCGTGGTGGTTGTGGTGGTTGTGTTGGTTAAAGGCGTGGTGGTTGTGCTGGTTGTGTTGGTTAAAGGCGTGGTGGTTGTGTTTGTTAAAGGTGTGGTGGTTGTTGGTTAAAGGCGTGGTGGTTGTGGTGGTTGTGTTGGTTGAAGGCGTGGTGGTTGTGGTGGTTGTGTTGGTTAAAGGCGTGGTGGTTGTGTTGGTTAAAGGCGTGGTGGTTGTGTTTGTTAAAGGTGTGGTGGTTGTGTTGGTTAAAGGCGTGGTGGTTGTGGTGGTTGTGTTGGTTAAAGGCATGGTGGTTGTGGTGGTTGTGTTGGTTAAAGGCGTGGTGGTTGTGGTGGTTGTGTTGGTTAAAGGCGTGGTGGTTGTGTTGGTTAAAGGCGTGGTGGTTGTGTTTGTTAATGGTGTGGTGGTTCTGTTTGTTAATGGTGTGGTGGTTCTGTTTGTTAATGGTGTGGTGGTTGTGTTGGTTGTAGGCGTGGTGGGTGTTGGTTGTAGGCGTGGTGGTTGTGTTGGTTGTGCTGGTTGTAGGCGTGGAAGTTGTGTTGGTTGTAGGCGTGGTGGTTGTTGTGGTTGTGTTGGCTGTGGTGGCTGTGTAGGTGTGTTGGCTGTGTAGGCGTGGTGGTTGTGGTGGTTGTGTAGGTGTGGTGGTTGTGGTGGTTGTAGGCGTGTTGGCTGTAGGCGTGGTGGTTGTGTTGGTTGTAGGCGTGGTGGTTGTGGTGGTTGTGTTTGGTTGTGGTTGTGTTGGCTGTGGTGGCTGTGTAGGCGTGGTGGTTGTGGTGGTTGTGTAGGCGTCGTGGTTGTGGTGGTTAGCGCGCTGCACTACGAATGTGGCGACCAGAGTTCGATTCCCGCTTATGGCCAACGCCACTGGCGATTAACTAAACCGCTATTGGACCTCCCCTAGGTCGATTTGGCCTCAAATGAGTACCTGGTGCAGTCTAAACATCAGCATTGGGGAGACAAAGGCGGCCGGGCGTGGTATTGGCCACCCACCCACTCATGTGCTGTTCCGGCCTGCAATAACATCCACAAAAGGGTCTGGCTAACAGCACTTGTCCCAACACGGGCGATGTTTGTATTTGTGTGTTACAGAGGTGTTGTGGGTGTGAGTAATGTGGAGTGTTGTACGGTCTAGGTGTGGATGTTGTGGTGTAGTGTTGCTTCTAGTTGTGGTTGTGTGGTTCTGGTTCTAGTTGTGATTGTGGCGATTCTAGCTGTAGTGATTGTTGTAGTTGAGTTGACTCTAGTTGTGTCGGCTCTAGTTCCTGTGGTTGTGCTGGTTCTGGTTGTGGTTCTAGTTGTGATTGTGGCGATTCTAGCTGCAGTGATTGTTGTAGTTGAGTTGACTCTAGTTGTGTCCGCTCTAGTTGCTGTGGTTGTGCTGGATGTGGCTCTAGATGCTGTGGTTGTGCTGGTTCTGGTTGTGGTTCTAGTTGTGATTGTGGCGATTCTATCTGTAGTGATTGTTGTAGTTGATTTGACTCTAGTTGTGTCGGCTCTAGTTGCTGTGGTTGTGCTGGATGTGGCTCTAGTTGTTGTGGTTGTGCTGGTTCTGGTTGTGGTTCTAGTTGTGATTGTGGCGATTCTAGCTGTAGTGATTGTTGTAGTTGAGTTGACTCTAGTTGTTGTCTCGGCTCTAGTTGCTGTGGTTGTGCTGGTTGTAGTTCTAGTTGTGATTGTGGCGATTCTAGCTGTAGTGATTGTTGTAGTTGAGTTGACTGTAGTTGTTGTGTGGGCTCTAGTTGCTGTGGTTGTGCTGGTTGTGGCTCTAGTTGTGATTGTGGCGATTCTAGCTGTAGTGATTGTTGTAGTTGAGTTGACTGTAGTTGCTGTGGTTGTGCTGGTTGTGCTGGTTGTGCTGGTTGTGGTTGTGTTGTTCCAGGCGAGTCGTCGGGCTGCGAGGACCGCCTCGCCTCTCTCCGCCGCCTTGCTCTCCTCGTCTCGGCCGTCTCCATCGTCGCCACTGCCGGCATGGGGGCCGCCGCCTTCGGTGAGGGACCCCTCCGCAACGTCGTCATCTCCACCATCTCACTAACACCACCACCACCACCATCATCATCGTCATCATCATCCTCGTCACAGCTTCTGGATCATGGTCGCACTTTGCCCCCTTCTCCCTCCCCCGCAGTGGTCTCCGTGCTGCAGAAAAGTGCAGCCGCGTTCGCATTTGCGGTGAGTGGCCCTGACCCAGTCGCCGACCTCGTCCCTGTGACACCGACTGTGGCCTGGGACCCGTAGATCCTCGTGCGGCCCTGCCCCCGAGCCTCTAGCGGCGACCCCTGCGATGTGCGTCGTTCTCAGAGAGCGATGATCCTCGCCTCGCCTCACCCCTCAGCCCTCTCGCCCACCCCTCGTGTGTGCACGCAAGTTGAACTTCTTTCGCACCGTACGTAGCCGACCGCGCTTAACCGAGGCGTGGGGGAAGGACAACAAACTAAACACGCAAAGCAGTTCTAACAGAAGTGCGTTTGAATATAGATTTAATAGTGCATCACAGCTCCCAGACCCTCCCCCCCCCCCCCCACCCAGTGGCTTCCTCGTATCAGAAGAGCGTTCCAGACGGCCGCAGGAGCGCATCTGAGCGCGTGCGATGAGATGACCCTCTCGGTTCGTCACCCTCACTCAGGTGGGGGCCGTGCTGGACACACTCACCTCGGTGGTGGTCGCCTGGAGGTTCAGCAAAGTCGAGGTGCCCTCTTCACGCCGTGAGCACGGGTGAGCGGGGGGGGGTGGTGTTGAGGGGTGACCTGGGGGGCGGGGGGGGGGCTTGGTGGGAAGGAGGTGAGGGAGGACATGGGTACACGTTTCTCTCGCCCCCCCCTTGTCTCTCCCTCCCCTCGTTTCTCTCTCCCCGCCGTGTCTCTCTCTTTTTTTACGATCAGAGGAAACAAGAAGATGCTCGGTGTAGTCGGCAATTTGCTCCGTTCATCATTTAGTTTTTTTTAATGCTTTGCTTTATGTAACCCCCACCCCTCCTTTTTAAATGAAAGAGCTAACCCTCTCTCCCTGCCTCTCAGGGCGTGCATGGCGCTGGGGGCCGTGTTCCTCGTCTCCTCCGCGTTCATCGCCGCTAAATCCGCGTTCGGCCTCGTGCAGCGCTCCCAGCCACAGGGGGTGAGCGGCGGGTGGTGGGGAACGCGGCGTGCGTGCGTGCACGGGTGGTGAGCGTGTCGGGGTGGGGGTGTGGTTGTATATATGTTCGTGGCGTGGGTGTGCGATGGATGTGGAGAGTGCACGGTGTGGTGTTGGTGGGTGTTGGTGGGTGTTGGTGGGTGTTGGTGGGTGTTGGTGAGAGTTGGTGAGTGTTGGTGAGTGTTGGTGAGTGTTGGTGAGTGTTGGTGAGTGTTGGTGAGTGTTGGTGAGTGTGCTGTATGCAGGGCGTGTTCCTGCACGTGGTGTCGGTGCTCAGCGCCATCCTCTGCGCCGTCCTCGCTCTCCTCAAGTTCCTCCTTGGCACCGCACTTTCCAGCCGCGCACTCACCACGGACGGTACCGCACTCACCACGGACGGTACCGCACTCACCACGGACGGTGCCCCACTCACCACCACGGACGGTGCCCCACTCACCACCACGGACGGTGCCCCACTCACCACCACGGACGGTACCGCACTCACCACCACGGACGGTGCCCCACTCACTACCACGGACGGTACCCCACTCACCACCACGGACGGTACCCCACTCACCACCACGGACGGTGCCCCACTCACCACCACGGACGGTACCGCACTCACCACGGACGGTACCGCACTCACCACGGACGGTACCGCACTCACCACGGACGGTACCCCACTCACCACCACGGACGGTACCCCACTCGCCACCACGGACGGTACCCCACTCACCACCACGGACGGTGCCCCACTCACCACCACGGACGGTGCCCCACTCACCACCACGGACGGTGCTCCACTCACTACCATGGACGCTACCTCACTCATCACCACCCAGTCTAACTTCCAGCGACACGCACACACACACACACGCACGCACACACACACGCATGCCCCGCACTCCACTCCTCACCCTCACCGTGCCTCTCGCTCACCGGGTGAGCCAGGCTGGAACTCGCTGGCAGGCGCTGTGATGGCGCTGGCCATGGTGGTGGCCGTGGATCTGACCCCACGTCATCCTGCGGCCTGGTTCTTGGACGCGAGCCTGGGACTCGCCATGGGGGTCGCCTTCCTCACCCTCGGAATCCGGTATTAAGGGGCGGGGGGGGGGTCTCCCACTGGGGGTGGTTGATGGTGGTGGTGGTGGTAGCTGGTGGACTAAGTGGTTTTGGTGGTTGTTGCAGGCTGCTGGTGGACACGGTAGTTGATGGTGGTGGTGGTGGTTGTTGCAGGCTGCTGGTGGACACGATAGTTGATGTGGTTTTGGTGGTTGTTGCAGGCTGCTTGTGTACTCGGTGCCACGTTGGAGGGCATCGGTGCACTACGAGGAGCTGCCCTGACCCCGACCTGCAGCCCTGACCCCGACCTGCAGCCCTGACCCCGACCTGCAGGCCTGACCCCGACCTCCAGCCCTGGATGCGTGGAGTCGAGGGGGATCGAGGATTCGTGGGATCAAGAGGCGTTTTACCAGTTTTATAGAAAATAGCGTGGGTACCGTTACCAAGGAGATGCCTCGCGGTTGCCCCGGCAACCAAGTGTGGTGCGCGAGGAGGTTGGTGTTTTATATGCGGTGTGTACGTAATGTCTGGCTGTGTCGGGTGGGGGGAGCGGCAGTCGGTGGCCGGGCGCTGGACTCCCAACCCGGTGGGCCGCGGGGTTCGGTTCCCGCTCACGGCCAACATCGGTGGAGAATCCGTGAACCGGTCCTGGGCCCTCTCCCCTAGGTCGACTTGGCCTGAAACTAGTCACGTGAACCGGTCCTGGGCCCTCTCCCCTAGGTCGACTCGGCCTGAAACGAGTCACGTGAACCGGTTCTGGGCCCTCTCCCCTAGGTCGACTCGGCCTGAAACGAGTCACGTGAACCGGTCCTGGGGCCTCTCCCCTAGGTCGACTCGGCCTGAAACGAGTCACGTGAACCGGTCCTGGGCCCTCTCCCCTAGGTCGACTCGGCCTGAAACGAGTCACGTGAACCGGTCCTGGGCCCTCTCCCCTAGGTCGACTCGGCCTGAAACGAGTCACGTGAACCGGTCCTGGGGCCTCTCCCCTAGATCGACTCGGCCTGAAACGAGTCACGTGAACCGGTCCTGGGCCCTCTCCCCTAGGTCGACTCGGCCTGAAACGAGTCACGTGAACCGGTCCTGGGCCCTCTCTCCTAGGTCGACTCGGCCTGAAACGAGTCACGTGAACCGGTCCTGGGACCTCTCCCCTAGGTCGACTCAGCCTGAAACGAGTCACGTGAACCGGTCCTGGGCCCTCTCCCCTAGGTCGACTCGGCCTGAAACGATTCATGTGAGCCGGTCCTGGGGCCTCTCCCCTAGGTCGACTCAGCCTGAAACGAGTCACGTGAACCGGTCCTGGGCCCTCTCCCCTAGGTCGACTCGGCCTGAAACGAGTCACGTGAACCGGTCCTGGGCCCTCTCCCCTAGGTCGACTCGACCTTAAAAATGAGTACCTCGGCTCAGTAAATGAACATCGCCACTGGGAAGACATCGGCGGTCTGGCGTGTTGCTGATCACCCATCTCTCCATGTGACATGTGTTGCCTTGATGTCTGCTGCTCTCTAAAAGCGCTTGCCCCCCCAAACAGCCTATTGCGACTATGGGGATGTGTGTGGGGGGGGGGGGGAAGGGGGGGGGGGGAGTCTTTGTATTGTATGTTGTGTATGTAGTGGTGTGTGTGGTGTTTTGCCCTGGCCTCTTGGCCAGTCCTGTGCGTCTCTGCTTTACCCATACGCAGCAGTAGCTGCTGCCGCTGCGCGCGCCGTGTTTAACACCGCGCGCTCCACACGTGTATAACCCAATAAAGATTCACATGTAGCACTCCGTGTGTGTGTGTGCGGGGGCGCCGTGATTAGCGCGCTGTGCTACGGGGCCCTGTGACCCGATTCCCGGTCCGCACGTGAAATTCCAGCCGGGTCCCAGGCCCCTCGGTCGACTCTGCCTCAAATGAAGACCTGGTGCGCCGTGGTGTAAAATGTCAGCGCTCCTCCCGCGCCCTCTACGGGAGCGAGAGAGCGAGCGAGCCAGCCGTGTGCCGCCGGTGTTGCACGTTGCGATTATTGCGTTGTTCCTGTGCGTCCCTCCGCCACCCGACACGGCCGGGGACAGCTCCAGGGGTCGCGGGGAGGGGAGGGGGCGGCGGGGGGAGGGCAAAACGTGCCGGGTCGATGACCGAGCAGAATTCGTGAACGGTTCCACTTGGCGAACGACGCTCGCGACGAGAAAAATCGCGCCTTGGGACGCTGCACCGGCGCGCGGCGATCCGCTCTCGAGCGAGCGAGGGAGGAAACGACTCTGAAGTGCGATCAGGAGGAACGACGGACGAGCGGGAAGGGAGCGGTCAAGCTGTGAGGAGTCGGCGCCATCGACAACGGCACAGCTCTGCGTTGCCCTTATCGAGGTGTTATTGGGCAACGAATACTCGGTATGGAGTGAGAGAGAACCGGCGCACATGGAGATGCCCCACGCGTGCGAGGGGAACACGCGCTATCCCCGTACAATTGGAGTTCCCACTTTGCTGTACTGCCTTCTGGAGAGCCGGGGTGTGGCTCCTTGACACCCACGTGTAGGGGTTTCACACCTGTGTGTGTGTGTGGTCCACCAACCCTCGCTGCTGCCTCCGATTAGCACGGTACGGTGCGGAAAGACGTCGAGGTTGGTGGACGGCGAATCGGTCACGATGGACAACTTGAGGCCATCGCTGCACTTTGATCATTCAGGCGAAGGAGACTCCCCTGGTGTCAACTTCAGGCGTGAACTCACTCTCACTCACTCAAACCCAATCGCCCAGCCATTCACCCACCTACTCACGAAAGCCCACTCACCAACCCACCCACTCACAAACCCACTCACCAACCCACCCACTCACAAACCCACTCACCAACCCACCCACTCACCAACCCACCACTCACTCACCAACCCACCACTCACTCACCAACCCACTCACCAACCCACTCACCAACCCACCCACTCACCAACCCGCCCACTCACCAACCCACCCACTCACCAACCCACCCACTCACACACAAACCCACTCACCAACCCACCCACTCACCAATCCACCCACTCACTCACCAACCCACTCACCAACCCACCCACCCACTCACCAACCCACCCACTCACCAACCCACCCACTCACACACAAACCCACTCACCAACCCACCCACCCACTCACCAACCAACCCACCCACTCACCAACCCACCCACTCACACACAAACCCACTCGCCAACCCACCCACTCACCAACCCACCCACTCACCAACCCACTCACTAACCCACCCACTCACCAACCCACCCACTCACCAACCCACCCACTCACACACAAACCCACTCACCAACCCACCCACTCACCAACCCACCCACTCACCAACCCACCCACTCACCAACCCACTCACTAACCCACCCACTCACCAACCCACCCACTCACCAACCCACCCACTCACACACAAACCCACTCGCCAACCCACCCACTCACACACGACTCGTGACAGCGGCGGTTTCCAGATCGGAGGCTTCTGTTGAGGAGGCTCGTGCAGAACGCCGCTGGGCAGTGCCCGGCTAGGTGCACTGTGAGGTTACTGGGCAGTTGGAGGCAGTTGGAGGCAGTCACCCTCCGACAACAACGATGGGTGTGTGTGTGTGTATTTACAAAGTACTGTATTTTATTTGTGGGGACTGGTGGCAAAGTGGTTAGCGCACTGCGCTGTCATAATCACCATATTTATGCTGGAGGAATCCGATGAGCTATAAAGCTCTTTTTCACAGATGTCCAGCTTTGAACCCGGCGACCCGAGCTCGATTCCCGCTCACGCTCAACACCCGTGACGCTTATTTGAGCCGGTCCTGCGCCTCTACCTTAGGTCGACTCAGCGTTGAATGAGTACCTGGAACGTCGGGGTAACCCACAGCACTGGGGAGACAAAGGCGGCCGGGTTTTAGTGTACCGTGCCGGCCTTAATAGGTGCTCGCTAAAAAAAATGCGACGCGGGGGAGTTTCATCTTTGCCGCGTCTCACCCCCTTGGTGGTGTGGGCGATTTTAGTGACGCTTGCTACGCCTCACAGCGACAGGCACCTGGGTTCGGTTCCCAACCCGGGCGCTTTTCTCAATGTGGAGTTTGTCAGCTGTCTCTCTCTTCCCCTGTTCTGCGTGGGGGTTTCTGCGGGTTCTCCTGTTTCCTCCTCGCATAACTAAACCCACAAGCCCAGTGGAACTGCTATCGGCCAAACCACAGCCGCAATGCTGATATATATTTTTTAAAAAATCTTTCAAATGAGATCGCACAGCAGCAGAATCGCCTCCTACAAACTCGGCAGGACCCCCCCCCCCCCATGCCTCACTCTCTGTCTCGATCCATCCCCCCGATGACCCCCTGACCCCCCCCCCCCCCGATGACCCCCTGACCCCCCCCGATGACCCCCTGACCCCACCCCACCGCCGCTAGCCGCAGTGCCCCAGTGCCTATCCCTGCTACCCGCTCTGCTGGGGGTCCTCTCCCTCCTGGCCTGGGGCTCCGCGCTCCTCTCCTCGTCCTGGGGCCTCACCACCACCACCGCCTCCTTCACGGGGCCCAGCGGCGCGCCAGGGCCCAAGGTAGTCGACTCACCTGGATGGTGGATTGAGGTGGACTGAGGGTGGATTGAGGGTGGATTGAGGTGGACTGAGGGTGGATTGAGGTGGCCTGAGGGTGGATTGAGGGTGGATTGAGGTGGACTGAGGGTGGATTGAGGGTGGATTGAGGGTGGATTGAGGTGGACTGAGGGTGGACTGAGGGTGGATTGAGGTGGATTGAGGTAGATTAAGGTGGATTGAGGGTGGATTGAGGTGGACTGAGGGTGAATTGAGGTAGATTGAGGGTGGAATGAGGGTGGATTGAGGTGGACTGAGGGTGGATTGAGGGTGGACTGAGGGTGGATTGAGGTGAATTGAGGTGGATTGAGGTGGACTGAGGGTGGATTGAGGTGGATTGAGGTAGATTAAGGTGGATTGAGGGTGGATTGAGGTGGACTGAGGGTGGATTGAGGTGGACTGAGGGTGGATTGAGGGTGGATTGATGGTGGACTGAGGGTGGATTGAGGTGGACTGAGGGTGGATTGAGGTGGATTGAGGTAGATTAAGGTGGATTGAGGGTGGATTGAGGTGGATTGATGGTGGATTGAGTGGGCTAATGTTGGATTGACGTTGGAAACACATTTCTGCACCCGGCACACCACATTCAGTGTACATCTAAGTTCTTACTCGAGGCTAAACACAACCCGAAAATTAATCTGTTTTGTTTATGGTGACCCAGATCAGGGTAACCCGTGTCAGATTTAGAGTGATCATAGTCAGTGATACAGTGATCCAGGTGAGGGTCAAAGTGATCCACGTGAGGGTGACATGGAAGTGATGTTTGTGTGTTTAGTTTGTTGTCCTTCCCCCGCACCTCCGATTAGCACGGTTGGCTACGTACGGTGCGAAAAAGGTTTAACAACATACACGGGTCAGGATAGCCCATGTCAGAGTGACACGGGTCAGGGTGACACGGGTCAGTGTAACC